CAAGGTAATAAATCTTCCTGTTTTGATTTCTATATTTCCCAATTTTTGTTAAATAATCCCTCCTCCATAGCACAATTTCTTCTCTATCCAGTAGTAAACTATTACGACCCCGTTTTTTCCATTTGAAATTTAAATGCTTCAGTAACGCATGGAAAGTTGATCGTTTGAAATTTGGCAACGTTGTATCTCCATTTACCTTCCGCAGTACTTTATCTATAGTAGGTATTTCATTCCTAAAGAAGAATTCATGCACTTTCCTCCTAATCGCATGCTTATCAGCTTCATCCAATGATTTAACAATACTTTTGCGATGTTTACTGGTCATTGGCTCAGAAAAGGTGTGATTTTTTTTGTATTGTCTTAACACATTAAACACTGATGCCCGACACACCCCAACTTTGTGAGAAACCTTCACAACAATTTCTTTGATGGTTGATGCCTCGTTCTCCTCGCTCTTGATCTTATATATATTCAAAATGACCTCTTTCATTTCTGCACTGAGGTGTCTTTTTTTAGAGCGTTTCCTAGGTGGACTACAGGAGTTTACAACTTCATCGGCAGTATCTGTACTACTGGGCATTTTGCGCAAGCAGTTGATAACAATAACAATCAATAACAAGGTATAACAATAACAACGACAAACTCAACAACTTAATAAGATAACAAACGAAAACGTCCAAAGAAATATCAAATTGCAATGATGCACACGACATACGTAACACGTCTGAACCTGAATGTGACTCTCAAAACTTTTAGGACATACGTTATTTGTACCTAAGCATGTCCTTGGTGAGTGAAACTCTGCAAGCCAAACGGTTTCACGGCTGTGTTTTGTATAATTTCTAGCCGCTAAAAGCAAAGGCAAATAGTTTAAATGCCATTTACCCTAGAACGCAACATAACAAACTCAATTTATTATGTATGCCTGTCTGTGACAAAACAAAATATCTTCTTGGAACCGCCACAGATCACTATTTTATTCAGTGTTATCGATCCTGTCGGCCCATTTTCTAAATATACTCTTACATGCTTGTGTAACTGACATGACGGCACTTTGCTTTGAAAGCCAGGGTATTGCTTTTAACGCTATTGATGATACCTAGTAAGGACAAAACATGACTAGTGCTATGATGAGATTACTCTCTTAACACTCTACAATCAAATTTCGATATTAAACTTCACACGTATTTTCAAAATAGAATGAGTTAAAATTTTTTATACGGTAGCGGTGGGTCATCAGTTGGTTTTTTTAGTTGGTATTATTTTGACAGTTGGTAATTGTTCCATGCGCAACAGATTGACCGATATATTGTGGCAATAACAATGGATCGTTTTAATCTTGAACAACAAGCCCATTTCCATCTGGGAGGTTACGTTAACGGGGCTCCTACTATCCCGAGCACCATCTTCTGAGGTAACGGGGAGGTGAAAAGGAAACGAGGGTGGGTTGGGCCTAGACGGTCGTCGTCGCTACTTTAAAAGAGGAAAGGATGACTGCGGGTGCATACCAAGGTAAATTTTTATCATAACAGAGTCGGATTTCGATTAGCGATCTAGAATGTAAATCGTTTCTTATTTTGGTACTCGGCATGTGATCATTTAGTATTTTTCTTGAAAAGAAACTCAGACCAAAAAAAGCTGATATAAAAATAACTAACAATTCGGATAGCAATTCCAAAGAAAATGAATAGTGTTATGGCGAATTCAATCGAAAACCTGACATTAACTACATTGATTTGGAGGTTGCTAAGCGAACATTTTTAGGTAATCAAGACAAGCAATTGAATAATTTATCAAAGATAGAACCGGAGTCTCAGCCAGTTTTTTGCGAGTCTTGAAATTCAGAATATGGCGATTGGTGTATAATATCTTCAAACGCATGTATGTTAAGCGAGATAAATGCGTAACATGTTGCTTAAACCTCAAATCTGAATCCATGATGATCCCTAAATTCTTCGCATGGTCTACTATAGGAATATGGGTTTCGTTATGACTAGGAACAATTGTGCCATCTAACCGTTGTACTAACTGTTTTGGTAGAACATTTTGAAGCATTGATCTTCAGACAATGTCTTTTGCAGTACTCTTCAATGTCAACTAGATCTAAGTTCAATTTATATGATGCTTCATGCATGTCCAAATAATCAAAAGACAGAGTTAGCTGCGTGTCATCTGCATACGTTTGAATATTACAGTGCTGAAGGCAAGTATGCAGATCAAAAGTATAAACTAAGCAGAGTAATGGTCCCGACACAGAGCCTTGAGGTACGCCAGATGCAACACTCTTTGCCGAAGACAATCCCTTACGTGTTTTCACCTTCTGGGTACGCTTGCGCAAATACGAATCGAAGAAACGTAGTGGCTTGTCAGAAAGACCATACCATTTGAGCTTACTCAAGAGAATACCATGATGTATACTTTATCTGAAGTCACTTGAAATAGCATAAAAACCTTTGGTCGGCGCGTCCTTTGTAATTTCATGACGTATCATAGGCGTGCGGTCATTTATTTAGAACGATAATAATAATGTTTTTATATCACAATAAATGGATTCTACTATCTTCTTATTTTTTTGATTTGGGATAAAAAATACTTATATTGGGAGTTTAATTTATGTTGACTGAAAGTTAAGAAATGGAAAAATTACAGAATTCCAACGTGTGACATAGGCAAATATTTACATAGCAGGTAGGTATATGAAAAGGTATATAAAGACTTACATTATAGGTATTTATATATCATCCTCGCCTTCGGAGCTGTCGCTAGAGTAACCTTGTAGAGGAATTACAACGGGATTTACAGGAGGCAAAACACAATATTCATTTTCTTTTTCAATAATATGCCTAGAACACTGCTTCCATAGGGCTGTGGCAGCAATATGAGATACTGCATCTCTTATTGTGGCCAATAGCGATTCACTTAATTGAGGGGTCTGATTATGTTTTCTTACTTTTTTTTTAAAGCAGCCCAGACCAACTCAATCGGGTTAAAAATGCAGTAATAGGGAGGTAGACGTAATACTTCATGGCCATTTTGCTGAAGCAGATTGTCAACAACATACTCTTTTTCAAATTTTTGTCTTTTAATAAGATCCAATAATATGGCTTTGGTTGATTTTTGTGGTATTTCCATTCCCTTATCCTTCATAAAATCAATAATGTCTTGTTTTTTTGTGCCTGTATTCGGAATTTTGTTTTTCTGTCGGGAATGGTATGGCGCATTGTCCATAATAATCACTGAATTTGGGGAAATGTTTGGTATTAACTGCTGCTCTATCCACTTTTTAAATAAGTCGGAGGTCATGTCCTCATGATAGTCGGCACATGATTCTTTGATATTTTTGGCAGATAACAGCAAGGCATTAGGTATAAATCCATTTTCACTGCCAGTATAGAGAAAAATGATTCGTTTTCCACGGTTGCATGGTGCATTTAAAATGCACTTGTTGCTGTCGTCAACCCAGCCGTACTGCACAACATCATGGGTATCATACCACGATTCATCCAGGTAAATCAGATTTCTTTTCTGCTCTCTATAGATTTTAACTTTGTGCAAAAATTCTTGGCGCAATTCAACGATTCGAGACGACTCCATAATCACCATTCTTTTATCTAATTTTTTGTATTGAAAACCACACAGTTTTACAATACAGTGCAGTGAGTCTAAGCATTTGTAATTATAAAAATCTTCAGAATAATCTTTTAATTTATCCCGTATCATTTCCAACGTGGGCACCAAATTTTCTTTATAAAATCCGTATATTATACGACGAATATCTTCCTGAAAACCCACGTCTATTCTTTTTAATTTTTGCCCTATGCGCTTTCTGTGGAAGGAATGGTTGACTACATCTCCCCTTTTTATAACCCGATAAATGGTAGACCGACTGATTTTTGTCAGGATACAAATTCTGTTTAAAATTTGATTTTGCGAGGAATCTGGATTTTCGTTTTTCAGACAATCATACATATTTAGGATTACTCTTTGGGTCTGTTCCTCTAAATCTTTATGAAAGAATTCTGCCTGCACAGGTTCATCAACCATCTCCTCGTGGCTTGGAGCATTTTCCCAAGGTCTCCAAAGAGCCATATTTAGGACACACAAGAACAATCAACACAACAATTAAATCAACAAGTAAACTGAGTATTCAAAAGTCAAAAACACACAAACTAATAAAATCTATGAAAAAACACGGACAGACTAAAGAAAACACGTTTATTCACCGCTACACGGCACTGGCTAAACTGTTTCAATTTTCAGTAGCCACCTGCACTTGTTCGGAGCTCTGAAATACACGCTTTCTCATTGGCTATGTGTCCACGCATAGGCGTGCTTTACTCCACGTGGACCGGTGAAACTCCCTTTGATCTTATATTTGGGATATTTGCTGCGAAATTTGGCGATTTTTGCAGCAACAGAGCGTGTTAAATATAGATATATAAAACGCACCCGGTATTTCACAGTGTTTCAAGTGACTTCAGATAAAGTATACCATATCAAAGGCCTTAGAGAAGTCTAGCAGAATCAGAGCTGTTCCTATCTGATCATCTACATTTTTGTTGATATCTTCCGTAATGTTGTTGCGCTATGCCCTGTACGGAAACCAGACTGATATTGAGGAATCAGGATGTGTCAGAAAGCAACACAATGGTGTTAGATTACAAAAGCAAGTGTCAGACGTCTAGGGGGGGGGGGGGGGCGTTCCCCGCGCCTACCTCTAGGTCCGCCACTGGTCCCCCATAATATAGCTTTATCTGAGCAGTGATCAGATTTGGGTGTTAGAAGGTCTGTCTTGCGTATTCTGACTTATAAAGTTTAATGCTCTTATCGGTTTTCCACATTCCCCACGTGGTCGCTGATAAGAGGTCGTTGGCAGAAAAAAAAAGCATGGAAAAGACTTAATTTCGTACGGTTGCCGAAAGATAACTCCTGTTTTTATAGCTCTGATAATCCAGGCAAATTGTCTTTTTTATAAAATAAAATTCATTGTGTTCATTCACGATACTTGCCACAGAAAAAACGGCAACCAGCAGAACAAGAAGGCTCCCATGATGATTCCCAGGGTTCGCGCCGCCTTGTGTTCTGCTCGCCAGCTTTTCGACTGCTGTCGTATTGTTGTACCTGGAACAAACGGAACTTTTATTATCTAGAACAACATGAAACGTAAAAAAGGAGCATTCCAGAGCGCGTCCCAGTTGCAAATCGGGTGGCGGAGGTACAATTATAAATCATCGATTGATAATTTTGCTTAACTTTTAAAAATAATTTTTTATAACCAGATTTACCTTTTAAGTCGAAAACATACGGGGTGTAAACGTTATGATAGTCGTTATTTAAATGGGTGATAGAGGGGGTTGAAAGAAGCAAAAAGTTTCATATAAGATGGGGGATGAAAGTAAAATAAAATCTGACAACGCCGCAATGCCAGGTGCAAATTATTCTTGGCTCTTAGATATTATTTCATTATTTGATAATGTACTGGTAAAATCCACACAAGCTTCATTAGTTTCTTCTTACTCTAGGTCCTCGTAGTTGTCAATTCGTTATTTCAGCCGCATTAAATTTTTTTTCGCGAAGTTGTTATAGGACCAGCCCAATAAACCACCCCTTTAAGTTCTCCCCAATACCAGAAATCCATCGGATTGAGGTCAGGAGATCTTGCTGGCCATCCATACGAACTTGACCCCCCTATTACCCATTTCAATGACTACCGTAGCGTTTACACCCTGTATATCTGAATGTCAACATGTTTCAATGAATGGTAGATAAACTGTGACCCACTTAGCGATTTCCACTCGATTAGCGTCAACATTTTGGATCGTCGGGACTTTGAAAATGCATTTCATGAAGTTGATCATAACATACTTTTTGCCAAAATGTCATTTAGTCCTATTTACATAATCGTCAGCTACTCACATCATACAATGGCCGCGAGTCTTTTCGCTATACAGCACCTTCAGGAGTACCACAGGGTTCGAATTTGGGACTATTGCTTTTTTTGCTCTTTGTGAACGATAAAGTAGCAGTATTCGTCATGAAAGATTAGTATTTTCTGATGAGTTGAAATTGTTCTTTGAAACGACGTTACTGATTATGAGTGTGTACAGTGTCAATATTATCTATGTTGGCAGATTGGTGTCAATTGAATAAATTGTCGAAAACAACCAACAGTAATTTTCATCGGAGGAAATGTAATCAGTCGACACAAAACGGTTTGTGATTTAGGCGTGACATTTGACAGTAGTGTGAATTTTGACTATCACATTACTCAAATTGTAAACTTACACTTGACTGCATTAAAAACGTTATGCTTTGTATGTGTACGTTTCAAATTGGAAAATGCTTCGTTGATTTGGATCCCTTTTTATAACCGTTATACGAGTGTGGTCTGAAAAGTTTCCGTCCTAACAAAGGTACAAGACATCTTTTATGATTTTTTTATTGTCCAACATAGTCTTCTTGTAACCCTACACTCTTCTCTTAGCGATTCTCCCATCTCTGTAATCCGTCCAAATAGTACTCGGCGTTTTTCCCTGCAAAATATACTAAGTGACATATAAATCCGAACACCCAGTTTAAATGGTTTTATTTTAATAAAATCTTGTACTTAATGAAGCATAATAAGTAAATGATAAAAATTTCAAAATGATTGCACTGCTATGACCTTTAATAATGTGTGGATGCACCCTGATGTGCTACGCATTCTCTAACGCGCCTAGGCGTGCTTCTGATCAGGTGGTCAATGTCCTCCTGTGGTATCTCATTCCAGGCAACCACCAACTCCTCTCGAAGTGCTTCTAGAGTCTGAGGAGGACGTTGCAAATTGAGCAATCTCCTACCCATCATATCCCACACGTGCTCAATTGGGGATAAATCGGGAGATCTAGGTGGCCATAGTAACAATGTGACATCATTATGTTGAAAGAAGTCTATTGTGACTCTTGCAACATGTGGTCGGGCATTATCTTGTTGGAAAGTTGGATCTGCCAGGGTGTCAAGATAGGGTAAAAGATGGGGTTCTAGAACTTCGTGGATATAACGCTGCGCGTTCATGTTACCTCTGATGAATACTGTTTCATTCCTGATCCCAGAGTGACCGTTGTCTGCACCACTCAAGGCGATTACGTCGGTGTTCTCGAGTTAAAGGGAGGACCCAGTGTGGCCGGTATGAAAACAAGCCAAAACTTCTCATTCGTCGGTAAACAATAGGTCTTCCGTGTTCTGCAAACCATGCATTTGCAATGGACCTGGTAGTGGAGAAACGGTCCCTTAAGTCCAATAATCTTAGGCGGCGATCTTCACGGTCTGTTGTTCTACGGCGGCGTCCAGCGCCCCTTGCTCTTTGCGTACGGCCTTCTCGAAGCCATGCCTGACAACACCTAACCACAGTGTCTACACTTTTTGCACTCTAACTGCAATTGCCCGAAAACAAAGTCCAGCTTCCCGAAGTCCCACTATACGGCCCCTATCAAACTCACTAAGTTGACGAAATCGTACAGGTCTCCGTACCCTAGGCATCGTAACCGATCGTAAAGGATGTCAAGAACCAACATCCGCCAACGTTGATTCTTTACTGCGGCTGAAATATTCATTTTTAGAGCGTTAGTGAATTAAAAAAAAGCAGTATAAAAACCGGAATGTCCAACTGATAAGGCTGAACATTTTTTCACTTGTTATTTAAGTGAGGTGATTGCCTGTTCATTTGACGAAAATCTCTGCGCTCCGAAAGCAATTTTTAGATGAGGGAATAAAAAGAAGTCGCTTGGTGCTAGATCTGGTGAGTAAGGTGGATGGTCAAGCAGTATCTGGTTTCCAAGATTGATTCGGTTTATCCTCAACGTGGGCCGCGGGCTATCAAGTGTTGTTGGAAAGATTCCAAGTTGCCTCCTTAAGTGAGCGTAGGAAACTCAACTCCTTCATCTTCTTAGATAAACCTTTACATGGTGTTGTTGATTATTCAGACCTGTTATCCCTGCGCCAATGTATAGTTCCAAGGACGTTCTAGAGACAGAATCTTCTTTTTTGCACCCGTGGAAGTACCAACTTGGCTTTATAATCTCATGTGAGAGTCTTCCTCAGCTCAAGAGGTTTTTATGATTTATTATTGTTGGTTTCTTCCCTTAAATTCGAACAATTTAGTATTGTTTTTTATTGATATGCCAGTTTTCAATTCTTTGTCCTGTAAATTTAATTATAAAAAACCTGTTGGGTAATAAATGCTATTATTATTATATCACACTATATCTCCCGATTCTAAGGACGCAACTGAGCGAACATTCAAATATAATGAATTCTTGCCCACATTTGAATGAACTCTGAATTATCAAGGAACCTCGAAGCAGCGATCTTCAAAGTCTCATCAAGTAATTAAAATTTACGCATCGGTGACAAGCTTGCAATAAGCGTACTTCTCGCTCCCTAACGAAGTTTGCTTGAACCTTTACTACCACCACTTTGAGTTTTTAATTGCTCTTCCGTCTCACACGAGGACTGGGCTAGTTTGGAAGGATGACCGCCAGCGCTGCATTTTTTCGTTTACTCGGTCTACTTTCACATTGATAAATTTTCTTTCATTCGGCAATTCAGTTGAAGCCGTTCAAGTTCAATATTATTCACACATTGTTAACAGAGATAGTTCTCCAAAGAATGAGCGATTTTTCTTTAGAAAAAGTGTTACAGAATTCGTCAACAGTTTCCATGGCCTACGCGATTACCAGACTTGTTGATTAAAGGACATCGTGTTTCAGATTCAACCGACAACCAGAGAAGATATGAAAAACGGGATCACGTATCTTAAAAAGTGACATTATGCCGTTTTTTTTGACATTATGCTGTTTTTTGACATTTCGTAGGTTTTTCTACAAGATGTTAACTTAGGCCCGTATCGTCAGTCGTCCCTACGATTGTAGGGCGCGTTTATGGCCTCCTTGATTGTCATACTCTTTTCTCTCCTTCAAAAATTTCTAGATTACACTCGTCCCGTGTCAGCGTCAGCGCTCTCCTATTGTTAAGATTTTAAATTGTCGGAAATTTCAGGCTGATAAAACATGATATAACTCAAAAGCAAGCACAATTTGATGCAAATAGATGTTTGTGACATAACCTCAAAATAGAGCGCTGACACGGAGAAGTAGAAAACTATGACGATACGGGCCTTAGCAGTTAGTTGTATGTGTTGCCTAAACGTAATGAGGTGTCAGTTATCAATCTTTGGCTCTGCTGAATTGAAAAACTGAGAGAGATAAGAAATAATTATGCTCACTGTACACTGTCGAATTACAAGTCATTTACATGCTAACAGAAATTACACACAACGCGGGGGCGGTGATGATTTCCCGTAATTCTCCTCAGTTTTTCGTAATTTGTAACTTTGAACATAACCTCTCTCGAGAAAGCACAACGTATAAATAAACCGTCATATTCAGCATATTCAGTAATGATTTTCTCACCCAGCAAATATCACTGATTTGATACACATGCAGACCAATACACATAATCATCTAGATGCGATCTTGCTATTCAACCAACTTTCTTCTCAGAGATAAAAACTACAGACACGGATCACTCAACGTCACAAAAGTATGCAACCAGTAATGCATGTAGTTTAGTTGAGCGATTCCTCCATAGATGGACGTTCACAACGATCCTAGTGAGCAAACGTGGAATGACTGTTTGCGCCCTAAAAACTTTCTAGTCTGCAAGTTGACATCTTATTGTTTTTTTTTGACGTTTTATAGGTTTTTTACATGATACTCGTACGGATTCGTGATGCTATTCGAAACGTACTGAGAGCAGAAATTGAAGCTGCAGTTTTGTCTACCCATAGAGCGTGAGCATTTACGGACGCATTAAAAACCTTTCTTTTTAAATCGGTTGTTTTTAGGGACACAACTTAATAATAAAAGGAAATCCAGAAAAAATAGTTTCAAAAAATAAAAGTTTATGGGATTTTCGTATAAAATTTTAGGTTAGGACCAAGATATCGAGATGCGGTTTCCGCGAGCTTGTGTAGACATCATTTAGCTACTTTTTCATTAAAAATGATACCAATGCATTTAATTTTTTTTGAGAAAATCAACCGTTTCTGTTGTCGGAATGTCGAAGAAAGCCCTCTAGCGGCC